AACAAGGTGTGAATGGAACTGGAATAATCAGCATGGCAACAGAGAATGGAGCTCTCTGATTGGACGCTTCAGTGTTGGTCGTGTGGGTTGTTCTTCGGTCGCTGGAGATTTTCTGGTTTCGTTGGTTTCTGGCTGCGTCTGCTGCAGCCACTTGCCTTGAAAAGATATCAGAGAGGTCCTGGAATAATCTGCAGGATCCTGGAGAATCCTGGAAGTCGTCTGAGCCGAGGGACCGAGATCAGTTTGAGTCCAAACTGTCAGAACACAGAACAAAGAGCTTCAGGAGGCTGGACCAGATCCAGAGTCCTGTTTATCAGAGAGGACTGGAGGAGACTGTGGGACTCTGCAGGAGACCCACACACACCACCACACACACACACACACACAGAGAGACATGCCACACTGTAACACACACACACACAACACATGCACACACTGTACCACACACACACACACACACACACACACACAGTAACACGCACACTAACACACACACACACACACAGTAACATGCACACTGTAACACACACACAGACACACACACACACAGACACCACCACACCACTGTAACACACGTATCACACACACAGACACATGCACACACTGTAACACACACACACACACACACAGACACACACACACTGACACACACACACACTGTAACACACACACACTGTAACACACAGTATCACACACACAGACACACACACACACACACACACACAGACACACACACACACACTGTAACACACAGTATCACACACACAGACACATGCACACACTGTAACACACACACACACAGACACATGCACACACTCACACACTGTAACACACAGTAACACGCACACACTCTTTCTCATTCTTATTGTTCTTTTTGTCCCTCCAGGACCTTTTTTTGTGATTTTGCATGAATCACATGATGAAAGTTTGGATGTTTTGGGATGTTTTTTGTTATGAAATTGTTGGAATGAGTGAAAACTGCAAAGGTAGATGTTTTTAACTGTAGTATTGTAGTTGAATCATTACAGCCCCTCCAGGACTTGGCGGGCCTAACTCTAACCCTGCATGTTTAAAGCACTCTAACCCTGCATATTTAAAGCACTCTAACCCTGCATATTTAAAGCACTCTAACCCTGCATGTTTAAAGCACTCTAACCCTGCATATTTAAAGCACTCTAACCCTGCATATTTAAAGCACTCTAACCCTGCATGTTTAAAGCACTCTAACCCTGCATGTTTAAAGCACTCTAACCCTGCATATTTACAGCACTCTAACCCTGCATGTTTAAAGCACTCTAACCCTGCATATTTAAAGCACTCTAACCCTGCATATTTACAGCACTCTAACCCTGCATGTTTAAAGCACTCTAACCCTGCATATTTAAAGCACTCTAACCCTGCATATTTAAAGCACTCTAACCCTGCATGTTTAAAGCACTCTAACCCTGCATATTTAAAGCACTCTAACCCTGCATATTTAAAGCACTCTAACCCTGCATATTTAAAGCACTCTAACCCTGCATGTTTAAAGCACTCTAACCCTGCATATTTACAGCACTCTAACCCTGCATATTTACAGCACCCTAACCCTGCATATTTACAGCACTCTAACCCTGCATGTTTAAAGCACTCTAACCCTGCATATTTAAAGCACTCTAACCCTGCATGTTTAAAGCACTCTAACCCTGCATATTTACAGCACTCTAACCCTGCATGTTTAAAGCACTCTAACCCTGCATATTTAAAGCACTCTAACCCTGCATATTTAAAGCACTCTAACCCTGCATGTTTAAAGCACTCTAACCCTGCATATTTAAAGCACTCTAACCCTGCAGTTTAAAGCACTCTAACCCTGCATATTTACAGCACTCTAACCCTGCATGTTTAAAGCACTCTAACCCTGCATATTTAAAGCACTCTAACCCTGCATATTTAAAGCACTCTAACCCTGCATGTTTAAAGCACTCTAACCCTGCATGTTTAAAGCACTCTAACCCTGCATATTTAAAGCACTCTAACCCTGCATATTTAAAGCACTCTAACCCTGCATATTTAAAGCACTCTAACCCTGCATGTTTAAAGCACTCTAACCCTGCATATTTAAAGCACTCTAACCCTGCATATTTAAAGCACTCTAACCCTGCATGTTTAAAGC